TGGGAGGTGGAGATGGGAGGTGGAGATGGGGGAGAGAGAGAGAGAGAGAGAGAGAGAGAGAGAGAGAGAGAGAGCCAAGACTGGGTGTAGGCAGAATGAAAAGGAGAGGACGAAAGAGATAATAAAAGGAGTGAGACAAGTAAAGGTAGAGTTCACACTGAAATTGTTGACTCGCGAGACGGTTACGTCGTTTATAAATGCATAGGGTGATCCCGTGCTAGACTACATTTTACAAGGAATATTATTAATTTCGTATTCATTCGCTTTTACCCATCGGGTGAGTCAACGACCCTTGCCGAAGGATCGGTGCAATCCCGATTACGAGTGCAATGGAATCTTATTGTTAGGTAAAAAATTTTTTATTAATTAAATTAACATTTTCAAAAATTACAATTTATATTTTTTTTACTTCAGTTATACCAAATTTTTATGCACTCTCTATCAGGCGGTCCTTCGTAGTCCTGTTGGGGTGCGTAAGTAGTTTTATTAATGGTCCTCTAGAAAAAGGGCATTAGTCTAGCTTATATATATATATATACACATCAAAAGATATATGTCTTATCGATTACCGTTCGGGGGTTTCGGTTATTACATATCCTTCGGTAGACATTTCCACCCTCCTTATTCTGCTATCCCCATCTCCATCGTTTTCTATCTCTTGCACTGCGGGGTAGACGGCACTCCCAGTCTGTATTCCGAAACCGATCGGATGCTGTTCCAACTATTTTTGAGAAAAAAAAAAAAGTTTTACTAAACTATCAGACCCAACGTAGCAACCACGGCATGTCGGCTCTTTTTGTTCGTCCCTGAACTTGTTCACGTTCAAAATCAATGTTCAATGCACATACGGCTTCCTTCGGTTGGCTCGACTGCTGCTCGGTAACAGCAGATACGTTTAGTAGCAAAGGGGATGCCAACCGCCCCCCTTATCCAGCACATACACCCACCGTATCTGGCTGAAGCTTCTGTGATGTCATCATATATGTACCCGTGTATACATATATATATACATATGGATAGTAGATGCACCCTGTTATCGGAAGAGCTTTAAATACCCAAGTATATAAGCCATAACGGTCGGGGGGAGGGAAAAGCAGCTACACGGACTTTGGCAAGCGTTGTGTACGAGGCTTAAGGTGGTAGTACGTTTCATGGGTAGAGAGGTCAGTATGCAGAGCAATTACTGGGAAAACTATTTTGCCCCTAATCTTTCTTGGCCGGGGTCTGGTATCTCTATACAATTTTTCTTAATGCTGCTTCTGGAACAAGATAACTGACAGATTTTTCGGAACGCTTCAGGGTGACCTCGACCCGTCGAATTTATGGGGACTGGTCGGTTTTTAGGGTCGGGAAAAAAAATTTTAGTCGGTCTCTATTGTCTTGCGATTTGTCATCCGGTCCAGTCCGACTCGGGCATGCGGGAACATTGTCAGACTTTCCTCAGAGTCCGCATACATACGTTAGAGGTTAGATTTAGATAAGCTGAAAAAATCTTATCGGTTTCCTTTTTTCAGGGTCAGAAGATACAGTCCCTTGCCGTGGTACCTGGGTTTCCCTTTTGGGTTGTGAGAATTTGTGTAAAGTGGGAAAAATTCGTGACTGTTCCCATAAACACTGATAATTCTTCATGGGGCTGACGTAGTGGTGGTAGGAGACGTCTGACGTCAGAAAAGTTTCTAGAACCTTTTGACAGCCTGCGGCATTAGAAGCACTCTGTGGCTCGGGCCTATAACGATTTTCAAAATATTCCTTCAACGTCCTCATTCTACTTCGGGCTCGCCTGTGCGCACGTGACGCCTGCATTATACTATAGACCCAAGTATTTCGTTCGTTCGTTTATACGTTTTCTTTGTACGAAATCTTCCAAGTATTTTTCTTTCCAGCCGAGTTGCCTTCCATTCTTATACGTTATTTTGGAGGAAACAAATGTTGGATCTTCTATGAAAGTATCGGGGCTATGCAGGGATGCCAATTCCGAAGCACTCGGGGGGCAGTAAATCCTTCGAAGGTATAAATACGTTTACGCAATTATATGAAAGTTGAGATGGACACTAGAATATATATTAATATTTTTTTTATTTTTTTTTTACCCAAAAGGAACTCTCTCATTCTTCGTGGGCGTTCGTTTCCGGGGTTCCTTCTTTTTATTGTCGTTGGGGTTATCATTATTATTTGCCTTCATTTTCCTTTTGATGCCTTTCACGCGCCCCTACCACGAACCACCCCTCTTTTTTCTCCCCTTTTCATCGGTAACTCCCTGCTCTCTATCTCCGTCTCTCTCCATCCAGCCAGCCACTGTTACCAACCTTCGTATCCACCTCCTTTCTCATCCTAACCTTCCAAGGTCTTCTATCTTCATATAAACGGGACGACAAAGACGTCACAGAAAGATATAATCGGCGCGGTTTCTTTCTCGAGGGAACAGAAAGATGGCGCTTGTCGCGCAGGCGCCCGCGACTCTTTGTTGCATTGAAGAAAACGCAAATTGGCGAACTTTGGCGAAACTCTGACAATGGCCGCGTGCCCTCGCGGTGTATCTAACGTAACAATGAGCCGTAGCATTGCCGGAGTGCATATAATTTTACCTAATACCCATCGGCCTTGTTGCTTTTTTTTCCACCACCACCACCTCCTTTTTTTACCCCAGGCCACTCGCGCTTCATTCTTTCGCTTCTCTTCCTGAAGTTTTCTGAATTTTACTCGCCTACCCCGGACTTCCTCCCTTCGACTTGTTGGTCTTCGGCGTGAGCTGAACAAAAGACGGCCGATTCCGTTGACCACTCGGACCTTCCCAGGCCATGCCCAGGCCGTCATTGTCATCCTTCGATCAGATCCGGTCGAAGGTTAATGAGGTAAATTCAGCCGGAGTAATCGGATATTTCGAAATAATCGTTTAATTTACACTTGGTATGCGAGGGGTTGGTGTCCTACGTTACTATTCTCTAATACCACCTACCCTTATGCCTTAGTAACTCTCGGCACCCTTTAACTATAATTCGTAACGACTCTGATGATGTCTCGGTTGAAATGAATCCTCCCGTGAGGTACGTTCGCCATTAACTGCCTCCAAATGAAATCTCATAACCTCTGTGTCCCTATCGCCCTATCCCTTCCTGGTGGCGAATCGTATAGTCATACTCAACCATATACCGGTATAGTAGAATGGGGTGCTACCTCATTGCAGCTACTAGGGAATGCTCATCCCTTAGGGTTTTGGGCACCTACTCTACTCGTTCATGTATCCCTGATTGACAACATGCGATGGGGGTAGGATTTGTGCGAAAGATAAGTTTTTTTTTTTTTTTTTTTTTTAATAAGATCAGGTAAATTTACTGAAAAATCTGGTCCACGTAGTCTTTATATTTAAATTTCAAAATTTTAGTTTTATACTATACCGATACTCGTGTCTTTCTCAATTAGGAATATTTTTTTTTCACACAATGTAATTTTACTTCTAAGAGGACGAATATCGATAATCATGAATTTAGGGGATTCCCCTGACAGCGAGCAATCAGAACTAGGCTATAGTGCTGCCGCCGCACGGGATCGCCCGCAAACTCAGGTGTATACATTTAACATACACCAATAACGCTCCAAGAACGCATCGGGTATGTTCGCACGCGTGCACGTGTTACGCATCTACAAAGAGTGAGTTAAATGCTCGTTTCCTCATTAGAATGCCAAACATTGGTTCTCGTACGACTGCCTAACTTCCTAACTTCCAAATTCGGTATTGGCGTCACTTCCGACGTTGTTTCCCATTGAGAAACATAGCGGCAGCGGCCACGTCTCTAAGTCATGAGGATTAAAAAAATATTTGACTTGGTTATTTTTTCTTCCCATCAGACCTCATCTGTCTATTAAATTACGTGAAAAGCATAAGATAAGCGTATTGGTCTAAGATCGACAAGCTGAACGTGAAGTTGTCTTAATTTAATTTCTCGGTCTGCCCTGAATTTTAAAGCACGAAGAGAGATCTTAAAAAATTAAAAAAAAACAAAGGGTGCATCTTTATAGAAAACGAGTGCCGGGCGTACTCCCTATCGAAGGTACCGAAACGTCTGGCTTACCCCTTATATAAGGGGTAGAAGGGGACTTGGATGTAAAAAAGGAAAACATTTTTACGAATCCTCCCTCGGGCAGTTCTTCCCAATGATTTATTAAGAGCTTAAAGCCTCTCGGCCGCCACTTCCCCTTCGATTAAAAAGTTTCGCCCATTACCGCGAGGCACGGGAGGAATTGCCGTGGGGCTTTCGGCACTGTGCTGCCTGCCAGTAGGTTGACGTTGGGAGGATGAAAGGGAAAAAGGTTCTCCTCCCGAGCGCATTCAAAGTATTCAAAGATGTCGCATTGTCGAGTATTTCGGCTCCTCTCGGCATCCCTTACAATGTCCTTGTCATTTTCGATTCTCTCCCTATTCTCATTTCGAATCTCTTTCTCACTTGGCCCCATTCTTGTATCTTTCCCGTATACACTCCGTGTCCCTTGCCACGAGGACCCTCTCGCATCGCTCTGTCTCCCTCGCACTCTCTGTCCCTCCCATCTACCTCGTGAGCTTCTGTCTCTCGGACGGGAGGCTGCTTTCTGAAATATAATAACAACAATAACACAATAATAGCCAGTTTCTATGAGAGAGTGAAATGGAGGTACCCGTCGCGCACGGTTAATTTGCCATTTCCTCCTGGTTAACGCCGAGCGACGAGCGATGAGTCGAGAGCCGGTTTAGTCGCTCGATTGAAAACGCTCCGTACGCTTCCTAGGCGTCTCTGTCATTGCCTCTACCCTATATCTCACACCCACTCTATATCCCTGCCTTCTGTATCATGCTCTCTGGCTCGAGTCTCTGTGCGGAGCCATTTTACAAATCAAGAGACCCTTGGACCTCCTACCATTCCCTCCCGCCGCCATTAATGCATCCTACTTTTCGAACTTAATTCTATTCCGTCGCTTGTTAATTGTACAGTCACGTTTCGAATGGCGCGACAATGGCTACCGTACGGTATACGGTAGTTAACTGGACTAGTTGACGATCTCAAAGATCCTTCCTGTACCCAGTATCGGGGTTTAGAGACGAAATTAGTATTGGGAACGATATCCGATTCTGGATGCTGAATCTGGACCAGTTTTACACAAAATATTCGTAATTAATTATTCACGAAATTACAGTCCTGTACTTGCCTTCGGATATAGGCTTCGCGCAGGCTGGGATATATTTGTCTTTCGAGGAGGTCAAAGGTTATACGGTAGCTCTGGGATATTCGCGCAGTTACAGCCCTGGATGGTGCTGGGTGCACAGGGGCCTAAAAGAGACGGGAGCTCACTGGGGCCATTCGATGGCAGCTGTTCCACATTTGAAGGATGGATTCTTCGGGCTTTGTCGCTGCGACAAAGGAGCCTCTTTCACAAAGGCCTTCCTCTCTACCCGGGGGCCGTCGAGCCTTCCTAGCGAGTCTCATTCTCAGTCTATGAGCGTAAGCATTCAGAGCGCCTACCTTCCATGTGCCTGTGTAAGGGCATGCTCTACCCGTCTGTAGCAGCAATACTGGTAGCACCAGTTAGCAGTATTGAGTACCAGGTACCAGTATTGAGCACCGGTCGGAGGCAAGTACCCACGTTTACACAGACTGTACACTTTGAACTGGTAAGAAGAATTTCGAGTACTGTTTTTCAGCGTAGTCTTATTCCCTGAAGCCTCTGGTATTCTGGTTATCCTGTGGAGATTTTTAGTCTGGTTCGAAATCGTTTTACATAAAATCCCTGGCATTTCATGGCAACGACAATTGGGCCATTGCTGGAAAAAAATCGGAAAACGTAAGAATGAATAGAAACGATACGTAAAGGTATTGATGGGTATGTAGAGCCATTATATAAAAAGTCAATGGTGTCGAATGAGATGATAATAAAATTTTCTTATATAATTACGAATTGCAACGTTACCGAGAATCATTGGTTGGCGCAGTAATCGTAAACGCCTTGCCACCACGTATTTTCTTTACCGTGTAAATAAATCCCTTCGACTCGACACGCACGCTTCCTCCTTCTTTACCGACAGTTAACTACATTGTCAGTGTACTCTGTACCAATAGAATCTATCGTACGTCGTTAGCGTTTCTACGACGCGATAATTCAATTTTACCGCCAACTCAGTACTGGGTGCTTAGTTTACGTCGCGAAATGAATTTTGAGGACGCGCCCGATAACCTTGGCTGCTCGAGTCTCCGTAGAGCGGGAAGGCTTTAACGTGCGCATGCGCGTCAACGAGTAAAGTGACGCTCGGAATTTTCACCGGAAACTCGATGCAATTATCATATTTGCTTAGTGACGTGGGCGATGCCACGATGGTGGCAGAGTTATGTGTACATGCATTTTTGTAGAAAGAGCAGAATTTAGGAAGGCGGTGGGTTTTTTAGTCTTGAAAATTCGATCCTAATTTTATTATTATCAAAAGTTAACCCGGTACCCGCGAAAACGTTTGGAAGAGCTTCGGCTCGAATTTGAATAATACTTTTGTCATTTCCGGTGCACAGCGATACTGGTGTGGATTGGGCATTCCTAGAATGCCGAGGGCTCCGTGCTATTAGAGGAGCAGAGTGACTAATAGGTTTGTTACGAGCTCATGGCTTCGACCCCATTTGACCCTGTAAGAACAAAGTTACGGGTCGCGTACAAATATTTACGAATCGTCGAATGCGAACGCGCCTCGTTGTCGGCCACTATTCGTATTGGTATAGCATGAAGGGACGTTCATAGTAATTAAGATCAATTACGTGAATTTATATAGGATTTGAAAGAAGCAAAAAGTGTAGAACGAAGACGGAGGAAAAAGAAAGTAAAAAATATCAATAACAGTCAGTACGTGGGACGTCGTTGATTGAAATTCAATTACATCGTTACTTTCAGTAATTAATATGTCACGGAAATAATTAGCTATTCTCATTAACGATCCTTAACGCACGTACCCCTCGCGATCCGCAAGTATAATACGTATATAGTTGTTCGGATTTTCTACCCTAAAATAAATTTTCAAATAGCGCCCCTTTCGCGAACAACGTTCCAACGCGATAGTGGGATATGAATTTATTTAGCCGTTAGGGCCGTTTATCAAAAAATTAATTAATACCCTGAACATTATGGCTGCCCTTGCCCCGGGAAAATATATCAAAAATTTTCATTACCTAAAGATTTACAATGAGATCGAATTCCCTTCTTGTGCAGTCTTTCTAGAACAAAAAAACCAATCGCCAAGAACTACATAGAGATAATCAGCGTCAACACGAATACCGTGTCGCAACCGAAACGCAGTCGATAACGCTCGGGCATCTTCGGCCGTTCTCGGTGCGTCCAGGGAGTCTCGACCCTGGCGACAATTTTCCTTGCTATCAGTTACGATCCGTCCGCGGGTGGGTTAACGTCGTATCGTGCAGCAGCGCCGCCACGCGGGAGAACGCGCGCAGTTAATTGAATACGATAAACCGATACAAGCCCGTTGACCGAGATAAGTTTACTGATCCTGGAACTCAGTAATCAGTCGAACTTCAAAGATAGCACATACGTCATAGCGAAGATTAATCAAATAAGGTAACACGATCTTGTAATGATTTTTCGTAATATTTTCATTTATCCTCACTTAACCGTTAAACTTACCTTTGACCAACCTATTGTCGCATGTTGCCCATACGAGTTAAAGGAACGCTGGGTCGTCGCGGTGAGGTCCAAAATGTAATTTTAAAAACAAACTTTACTCTCGTACGGCTACTGCATGTGTATTACGGGGTCTGTTTTTAACACCCTGTACATCTTCGGTATGCTCCGGTTCCCATGAAACGTTCCCCACGTGGTGCTAAGCCGACTTTGTATCTGTTTGGTATCTGCTCGACTCACCATCCGCTCTCTCCATGTGTTTCACGATGATACATACTGTTGGCGATGACCTAACTCCTAACCAGTCTGTCAATTAAAATGCCACCATATGTCAGTTTAACTGTTCTATTTTCATGGCATTGGATTATTAGTTCTCTGTGCACGCAGTGAAATTACTTGTCTGCCCTAACCTCCCCTTCGCCGTGATATTAGATTTCTACTATTATTTTGAGTGAAAAATTATGGTTCACTGCCGATGCGTGATTATGCGTTGTAAATTTTTTATTTATCGACAGAGAGCCCTGCCTCGAGTTCTATTTGAAATAAATACGAGCGGGCGGCGAAGGAAGGAAAAAGGGGGCGTTATGAATTTAATCAGAAGCAGCGAGGAGGGAATCGTCTTGGCGTTGAAGAAAAATGAGGATAACTACGCCAAGATCTATAGGGGCGTAGTCATTAGTAAATGAGCCCTGGGCAATCGAGTGTGGCGGGTCCCAGGTGCTATATCCGCCTTCGCTGAAGAAACGAACGGAAGGGAATGGAACGGAACCGAGTAACCCGTTTGGTTAGAGGTAGGTCGGCATTAATGCCTTTTGTTAATTATAACAGCAGCCACAGTTAGGGGCTTAAAATTCGCCATAAATAATCGGAGACAATACCATCGTACCACTTTGGCGATTTTCTAGCTACCCGGCGAGAACGTCGGTACTTTATCATCCCTTAGGAAAGCTTGGCATATCGTCCTCACCGGGTACCTCGTTGAATTTACTCTTTCTGGTAGGGTTCGAAAATTTACCCAGAAGCATCATCTCTCGAAATAATCACAGTGATAACCTCTTGCATTGGGATTTACATGTCTCGTCTTCTTGACCCTTTCCAGCATCCCAAATTATGTTGTAATTAGTGATTGAGGTTATGTCCGCGGGATAAGAGAAACCCACGTACCCTGTATTTTCATTTACGAGAAAAGTTATATCTTTACGGATACCCGGAAATCATTAATTACCTTTTGGTTCTGATCAATGTGATAGATCGAATTGTTCCTTTTCTCAGCCAATCAGTCGTACGATGACAGGTGACAGGAATCGTTTCCTACCCTGAGATTAAATTTCGCATCCACCATCCCTCCCCTTTCCCCGCCACCTCTACTCTGTGTACCCACCGTCCATGTTACGCGAGACTTCTGCCAATTGAATTTGCGATGTTCCAAGAGATCGCAGAAAATGAGATTCCCATGGCGTCGGTAGTCCGTACAGATATACTTCCTCGCGTTGTTACGTTGCTTGGCTATATTTTGAGACAGACCAAGAAAAAACAACTCAACCTCAAAACACCATTCAAACAGTGTTTACTTGGATTATACCAACGCGCTGATCAAATCCTGCGTAACAATTGCGTTCGAAAAGGCTTCGACGAGAAATCTCAGTACGCCTGTTCCCATCTTGCTTGCTATCTCAACAAAAGAGAAAAAAAGGTTCTTTCATTCCTCCACGAACCTCGTAAAGTTCTGCCATTACGTTTATCCTTAAGTAAATGAAAAATTCTTGCGTAGACGGTCCCGAATACATGCTCGCCCTATACGTACGGTTCTGTGATTCTAAGGCAGCTGCTGTCATCTTCGTAGAACGTCTATGGCTTGTAAGAGGTGCGAAAATTATGGGGAAGATACAGATCTTGCGAATGAGAACCTTGACTGTTCCTGGCGCGGTATGCAGCCGGTTACGAGTATCACGATGCAAGTGGTAGCACCACATAATGCTTTTGTGGTCGCGTTATATACGCGGAACCCCGGGTACACAGTGTTGTAGATGTTGTCTGTAGCCGCCGCCAGTGTCGCGTCGAACCTCGAGAAACATGGCCATCTAGCAGAAGTCCGGTATATTAAAGTCGACGGTTGAAGAAGGGCTAGGAGCCATAGTTCAGTTACGTTTCGAAATTCAGTGTCAATACTGCGAGCATCGTTGTGCTTCTGTTTACCTTTGTGCGTCGAAAAATTACGTGGCAATGCTCGCGACAGTGACGGTTAATTTTTAAACGTATCCTCGGTAGGGTAGCAGACGAACGTAGAGGACTAACCGTTAGTCTACCTCTGTATTTTGATATAAGCTTTCTGTACTGGGAAACTGTCGCTTCACCGATATATTGTAACTTTCACAGTACTTAAAGCTTACATCGAAACACAAGGTACAATGTTCATCGCTCAGTACTACCCGAGTCGCTCAAGATTTAAACAGTTTTCGTTATAATCTTTTACGTCAATTTTCTTCGTGTACCTTTTACTTCTGGATACTTCGGACAGTTAGACCTTTTTTGTCAGTGATGTCGCATCTTGATATTGCGTAGTGGTTTGCCGTTACGTTGTAAGCGATTGCCATTGCGGGAGATAAGAGTATTGTAAGAATTTCATCGTTTCCGGTCTGATGTTTGAACAGAGCCTGTGTTGAAAAGGTTATTCGGAGAATTGGGATTAAATAATGTGGAAACGCCTGCCAGGATTTTGATGACGGATGACAAGGTAGGACATTGCATATTGCTATTTCTAGGTTATCTACTTTATATTTGACATAGGGATAGCGCGGAATGGAGGTTATATGTCATTTTTATATTTAATGGTAATGTAAAATATGATTACGTGAATATTTGACGTGGCTTCTTTTTTTTTTCGTGAGCTAACGTACATTTTATTACTTTCTATCTCTCTTCTAACCGCGCGGATAGTAACGAGCCGAAATTTCTCGTTAGGCCTTAATTCAAGGCAATTGAGGGTACGTTGCGGAGGCCATCTTGAATCGCAGCCGGGTAACCTGGTGGGAAACTTGTTTTGCCAAACCCCACAGTCTCGTTCTCGTAATCCTGGGGAGCTGCCTTGGTAATCCGGAGAGTGGTGTAACGACACGAAATATTTTGTTTAAGATTAACTTTTGAAAATTCGCTTGGGAACGTCGAGTCGCGGTCGTGACGTTGATTGGGCGGAGGGTACGTGATGACGCTTCTATTTCGTAGAGACCTGGCGAAAGGGATGAATGGAGGGAAAGGGAGTTTATGCTTCCTGAAATTAGTTTGTGCGCCAAATTTATCATAACCGCAGGTTGACAATGTAAATATTATCGTAAGTGTGCAGACGCGCCAGCAGTATATATGTAT